ATTGTTGATCTCTACTTCCAAAAACATTTTAGATTTTAAAATGGAAACATTTTCTTTTTTTATTTTTTTTTTATTTAAACATTCACTGTAAATCATGGATCCATAAACACCTCATTTTATTCCAGTGTTAAATTCTGTTTAAAGTGACAGATTATAATAAAAGATGTTTCCGGACCTTCATGGGTTGATGATTTTATTTATTCGGACTCCGCTGATTTTTTTAATTGGTCACCCCTGTTTTACAGAATACTTTATAACCATCTGATCAGACACATCAATGCAAACCTTTGAGCTATTATAGCAGAACACGGGCTCTGGTTTGGCTTCTGGGCCGCTGAGTGGACCGGCTGAGGTGTGGGCAGTGCAATCCAAAACCGCTTCACTATTGTCTGACTGATATGTCTGCGTTTTGCCGGGGGTGGGGGATAATCATGTCAGAATCTGAGCTGCTTCCCACCCAGTGCTCCTCATCGCTCTCCCTCTCCACCCGAATCGCTATCATCAATATTTCGAAGCATTTCTAAAGCCTGTTTTGCTGTCTGATTTTTTTCTGAAAGCCATTTTTCCGTATCATTCAAAAAGCTAACGGTACCGAACGTCAACTAACCGACGAAAGAATTTACAATGCAGCTGATACAGCCATCAAGATCAGATTGAGATAAAATAACCATATTTATCATTTTACATTTTTATTTTAATAAAAAACTAGGTGAAAATGAGGGAAATACAGAAAAAGAAAAAGTCAGCGAGTATGAGCAGCATAGGATTAATGTAAATAAAGTTCTTTCCCTTCTCAGAGATGTCAAAATGACGGCCTTGGGAGTTCTAGTGTTAAGCCATGAGCTTAGTGGTTCAAAGCAGGTTGCAAATATGCAATGAAAATAAAATAAAAATAGAGATTTTCTCCTCTGAGGAGGATCCTTGGTTAATCGACGTACCAAGGTGCTGCCTTTTCTGACATCCTCCAAGCGCTCCAAAACTTCAGCCAGGCTGGGATCATCGGAGTCAACAAACCATATCGGGGGTGTTGAGGGGTAGGACTCCTGTAAGAGAGACGATAGGAGACGAGTTCAGTTGCTGCTGCTCATTTTCTCCACAGCACACCAGTACAGTTTTATTCATTTGGTGGAAACTTTTTCCTGATATGAAAAGGAGGCATCTGCCAATATCTACTTCTAACTCACACAGGGAATAATTTGCAAAAGTTTTGAAATACTTTGAAACCAAAATCTTATCAGCTACTCACTGCACTATAGGTAAATACTTAAAACAACATCCATGAGCAGGTGGTGTATAATTTTTAATTGATTGATCAGGTGACCAATCTTCCCCATTTCCTAAAAACCTCCTGACACAAATTAGAACCACAATTAGGGTAAACAGGGTATATGATTATGGCTGCAACTAGTGATGGGATCTTGAAGCCAAACTGATGCTGCATTGATATCGTCTCACAGAATACTGACACCTGCTGGACCTTTAGAGACACTACAGGCGGGCTTATTTGACAGACTAAACTAAATTTATTTACTGACCTGACAAAGACACAATTTAAGTTATTGTAGGTTATATTGTATTATTTCATATTTAAGTTTAAATTTTAAAAAATCCTTGATATTTTAGATGCAGCAAATAAATAATGTAAACATATATTGTGAAAATTTAGGGGAACATGTGAATGAGTATTCTTGTTGACTAGGATTTAAATCATATTTTTAAAACAAAAAGTACAGTAAAAACAGTAAATAAACTAAGAGTCGATTTGAAATGAACTTTAATTCAGTTAAGTTAGGTGATAACTGAGCGGAACAGGATGACACAACGAGAAAATTAAAATAAAAACGCAACGGCTGAAACGTTTATGTTCCTTTTAGGCTGCTTCAAAATTCTTGATAATTTTAATGATAATACGCAGAAAATGAGACACTTCTTTAAGCAGATGCATCATGTTGACAGAAACACAGTTTAGTCAGTCAATCAGTTAGAAACAACTCCTGTATCGGTCACATGACACGCTCACCGATACAGTGTTTTGCTCTTTGGGATCCACGCATGCATCGGCATTGCTGGACCCATCACTAGCTGCAACTAACGATTATTTTGCTTATTGATTAATCTGTCTATTACTTTTTGAAATAATTGATAAATAACTGGATAGCAAATGGTGCCTTAAAGAAGATTTTATACAGAACTTAAAACCAGTTAAAGCTTAAACTATGCCACCGTGTCTGCTTCTGTCTCCTTGAACCCCAGTGGGCCTCAGCAGATGGCCGCTCACACTGAGCCTGGTTCTGCTGGAGGTTTCTTCCTGTTCAAAGGGAGTTTTTCCTCTCCACTGTCGCTATAAGCATGCTTAGTGTGAGGGATTGCTGAAGAGTCAATGAGTCGATGCAATCAGCTGGTTTTTCTTAGATAGAAAACTTTGAATCAATCTGACTGGATGATCTGGTGAACTGGAAAGTGACCTGAGATGACATGATGTGAATTGGAGCTATAGAAATAAACTAAATAAAATTGAAATGTGTGGATATTCAAAGAAAAGTGAGTCAAAGTGCAGTTTTTTATTAAAAAAAAAGATTCAAAAAAAATCTTGATGCTTATAAAATGCAATAGTAGGAATGATCCAAACAATGAATGCCGTCTGTATAATAGAGTCTATGAGCAGAGTTGCTTTCTGTTGGAGCTTCTA